TAACGTATTATCTGAGATAATCTTGGTGAAAAAGAAGTAAAGACAATAGCCAAGGCTTTAACTATAATGTTCCTAATTCTGTCACTACCACATCCCATCTTAGTAGACTCTGAAGAGAGTTGCAAGAACTTAATGCCTCAGAAAAAATAATCTCTGCTATATTAGATGACAAAACAATCTGCATATCTAACAAAATTTAAAAGGAGCGTAGAGTTCAATATGAAAATGAAGGGATCGATTTTCTAGACTACTTCTCGTTAAAATTAGTTAAAAAAAGATTGAATGGGTATGACATATCAATGTATCCAATCTATAAGCTCTAGCAGATATAATGATAATGCTTTGCATCTGTCTTGCTTAAATTAAAGACTTGCACATTTCTAATGGAAGTGTAATTGAATATTCAAAAAACTGAGAATAGCAGGATAATCCTTGGATATTTAGATCATTAGAAAGAGATGAAGAGCTAAATTTCTCCTTACTTAGATTCAGAATGCAATTTCTTCTGAACAGTTAAGGGATCTAGAAGTATGAAGAGTTAAATTGTTTAATACATTTCGAAAAAAAATAGATTTCTTTCTGAAATTGGTAAACCACTTCTCTTAGTTATTTGCGTAAATTAGAAGTAGTATTTGCAATCATTTTAAATAGTGCGAAGAATTTATCAGAGACTATGATCATTGTCAGTTAAGCCCTTCAACATTCACTAGACAACTATGCCTCTCCAGTGCAAAACTATACTATAGTAAATTATCGAAAGAAAGAACAACCTTACAATCAGACAAGAGCATTCAAGCTCTTTGATGAAAACTAATTATATAGAATGTTAGAGGGTTAGGATATCATTTATTAATTTTATTTTTCACTTGAAGTAAGATATATCATATATAAAATATCACGAAAATGGTAACTGATCAAAAGCATTCATCTGATAGTAGTATTGGAAAAATTTGCTCAGATACTTGACTTCTTGCGGATTTATTAAACATGATTGATCAGAAAAGAGGTTTCTCAGACATTTTTTTCAATACTGTCTGATAGTATAGTTAGCGAGCAGAAAGTTATCAGACGTATAGAGAAAATAGCCCAGTTATTTGGATTGAATGAGCAAAACGCAAGAGCATATAAAGCACTCTCTGGACAGATTTGAACGTTAGAAAAAAGACTGGAAGATTATCATTTTGAGTAAAGCTTAAAAGGAAAGTCAATTTATTGGAAGCTGAATTGGAAGATCTGGATGAATATGTAGATAGGAAAACTGTGGTCAACTTAATACAAGAAATAGTTTTCTTGATAATTGCTAAAAAAGGTAAGGGTTCCTCCTATTTGTCTGAGTTTTCCAAAGAATCTGATTCATATGAGATAATTAAGGGGTCCCATAGGTACCAGGTAAGAGAAAAAAAGGATGTCTCTAATAAGCAACAAAGGAAGACATGACCAAGAAAGGTTAAGCGGGTGATAGTTTAAAGAGATGAATCAAGCACTTTGCATATTTTTTGATCAAAGAAATTTGCCCCCTTGTCTAAAAAACTGTGGGGTGGAGTCAGTGACTAAGCTTTATCATTTTTTCGAAAAAGCAGTCTACTTTGTCTGAGACTAGTTCATCTGAATCAAGCTCATCCGAGAGTAGTTCGTCTGAGTCCAGTTCATTCAATTCTGATATTAATGAGGTAATAAACATAATTATGCATCAAAGGATTAGGGAGCGCCTAGCTTGAAGGAAGATTTAAGAGAAAATGCATATAACAAAAATAAGGTTACCTTTCAGCTGAAATATTCAGAGCGTTAGCGGATATCTCGAATTTCATCATTAATTAATTGTCACGAGGATTAATTTAAATAAATATGAGAACTGTTAATCTTTTATTATTCTTTTTCGTAGATGCATAATAATGGTATTTCTTTTAGCCATTTCTTTACAATCGAACAATTATGTGGGGTACCTTTTTTAATAATAACTTTTGTTATATTAAATAGACTATGAGAACCCATGTACAAGTAATTGTTTATTTACAAAATTTTGATTCCATTTCAACAAATCATTAATATCTTTAACCCAATCAACGCCTTCATCAACTCTATTTACACAAGGGATTGGGTAAGGTGACATTTGTACCTATAAAATATTTAATTAATATAAATAGCTCAAGATTTTGAAACAATTGAATGGTTGAAAATATTTTACCTCCAAGTATTCTCCTTTATTCAACATAAATATTTCCCTTCCATCCACAGTGACTTCGGCTGGCGCACGGCTTTGTTCGCCGATCTAAAAGTAAAAGTTTAACAAAGACGTGTAAAAATTTAAAAAAATTTATACAAATAATATACGTTTGTAAATTACCCTTAATTGGATTCTTACACCCGATGGTAGTAAAATGGGTCGAAATGAAAGTGATCTTGGACAAATAGGAGTGATAATAAGACTCTGTACAGAAGGATGTATTATCGGTCCTCCTATATAAAACGTTTGAAATTAATTTATGGTCTTCAATGTTGAATTTATAATGATAGATTACAAGTAATATTAAATAGAACACATACCAGCTGATAATGAGTATGCTGTTGAGCCTGTAGGTGTGCCAATAATTAACCCATCCGCCTAGCGACGAAACGCAATCAGTTATCATGAAGTTTTTTATATATGATTTGATTTGATTTTTATTTGTTTTTTGAAATTACCACAGCATCTGTAAGAAATTGTCCATCCACAAAACAATCGATTGCGGTGAGATGTGGATAACGACCCCGATGCAAATTTACTTCATTCATGGCTTGTAAATCGCCTGATAAAAATATATATATATATGTATTTATAAATATTCATTATCAAATTTGGAACAAGTAAGTCTTCGTGACAAAGTCAATAGTTACCGATTTCAATGCCATTCTTCGTAATCCTTTTCCCTTCTGCAGTCCATATTGAACAAGAAAGTCTCATTCGAAGCAATAATGAGACGCCACCTTTGATCATATCTTCTAACGCAGCCTTAAAATGTCTGATATCTATATACCAGAGTCAAGGTAAAAATTGTTGTTAATTTACTAATTCAAATTATTAGATGTAAATTGGACCGATATCTTTATATTGATTAATTTTTTATGCTCGATAACTATTTAAAAGTTCCATCGGTCTAGACTGATGTATCATAACTAAAAAAATTATAATCATGAATTTATGAAGGATACGAAATGGAAGTAGAAATCCAAATGTTCCCATTGAGAATGAAATGACTGGTGGAACGCATTGATTAAAAAGCGATGAAACGTGAAGAATTGTTCCATCTCCACCCAATGTTATAACGAAATCGACAGTACGTGCATATTCATCTTGTTGTCCTAAAAGATTTTGGAATATAAAATTTAATTAAAATTCAATCATAAATATATCAAAAAAAAAAAAAAAAATTCAAATCATACCTAGTGGAATCACATTCACATACGGTAATTCATTTCCAAATTCTTTAATTACCTCGGGTTCAACAATGATATTTATATTAGGATGAGATTTACGTAACCAACTAACAAAAGATTTTTGCTGGAATAAGATAATTTTGATAGAAAAAGAAAAAGAAAAAAATTTCTGAACCTTAAAATTTCCACGAAAGCCTCACTAGTGGATTCAGTGAAAGGCTTTTTCACAACCAAGACTGAGCGAGGAGGTTCTGTCCATTTTAATCGATAATTTCCTCTAAAAATACATATATGATAAGTTTATAATTTCTATATTAATACCGAGAAATAACTATCTTATATACCCATAAGTAGATCCGACCACTTGTTTAATTCCCTTAGTGACTCCTCCGGTCGCTGTTAAAGTTTGTTTAATATATACGTAAAGAATAAACAAGCCTAACAGATAATTTACCTATCGTGTTTTCAATTTCACTTAATAATAATTTTACTTTATTGGGTAAATTCTTTGTACTTGAGTAAGAACGAAAATCGATAAAGTGCTTTTGTGAATATGCAAAAAAAGAAGGGGAGTGACATAACGCGGATCTGTTATTGTATGATTTGGTAGTAAAGAGATTAAATAAAGATAATGTTCGTCTAAAAGACATGAAAATTGAATGAAAAAAATATTGATCAGATAAAATTTATCGAAATTGCAAGTTTTGGTTTTTGATTTACAATGCATCTGAGAATCTGAGAACACAAAAGTGAAAACATGTCCTAAAATGGCTTTGCCCTGTATGGAAAAAATGGTGATATCTCCAATACTTCAACAGTTTTTTTAAATCAAAGAATCAAAAATATGATAAATCAAAGTTCGCTGGTTTTTAGCGGAGGCTAGAATATAAAATAAACTATCCCTTGTTAAAGGACGATTAAATAACTTCACCAATGTCAAAGCAAGCTGAATAAGATACATCGTTGATTTTATTTTTATAAATGTCCCTTTGGTTCAGTATGTAATTACTGCATCGCAATTCCGATTAACAATGCGAATTTTAATTTTAAGATTAGAAGTCCTTCGTTTTTAATATCAATTACTGATGTATTTCCAACACTGATAACACTGATCCTTTAATAGTTCATTAAATTCCGTGATAAATGTATCTTAAAATGAACCAGAAGATAAAATTAAGATCACTAATTAGCAATTTCAGCAGAAATTCTCTGTCGTTCATGGAGTTCTTCCACCGTTTTGCGTCATTTGACCCATCGCTCACGTTCTTATACTTTCCATTTTTTATTTAGCTTGTTTAATTTTAATACGTATTTATGATCTATTTCATGGACAAGTTTTAGGTTGACAACGCTCTTTATTAAAATCAAAATGACTTTTTTTGGTCGCAAGCCTTGATTACAACCACTCGCGAGATGCATATTTTCGAAATGACATAATCTTCTTAGTAATCACCATATCACCAAAATGTGATATCATAATGAAGTTACTTATACCTCATAATGCTATTGTTGCCTGATTTATATATTTTGAATTTTTCTTTTCTCTTGAGTTTAAATTTATAAGTTTAAATGCTTAAAAATTCGTTATGAAATTTTATCGGGCGGAAACCGGAAAGCAAATCCGATTAAGAAAGTCTTTTGAAAGGTATATCCTTGTAGTAGTTTTTTTTTCAGTGGAGAATATATTTTACAGACGGCAAAATTTTTGTTTTCTATGTTAAAAATCCTTTTTTTCTTACTTACTTTGCTATGCTTTTTGGAATGATAAAACTATTTGTTACTTACTAAATTATTTTATCATTTTAACGTTGATTCGATAATCACATGAATATTTAGTTTAGATGGCCTTAAGACGGAGTTAGAGCAAGTGAGTGGTGTACCAGTATCCTCACAGATATTGATGACGAACCTTGGTACACAACTCAAAGGTCAAATGATGAGTGATGTGAATAAAGCTGTTGGAAAGGTGAAGATCAACTTTTATACTTGGAATTATTTTTTTTTGATTTATTAAATTATCCTTTTTATTAATACATTTCGATTTATACATGTAAGGATGATTACATATTTCTTTTCAACAGGGAACTTCTTGATTCAAATAATGCAAATATCAAAGAGTCACTTGCTGAAAAACCTTTATTTGAACCTCCTATAACTGGTAAGATCAAATTTATACTTATATTTTAATAAACTTTCATATATTAATTTTCTACAATTATGATAATAAAATTGCAGCTTCTACGTCATCAAAGGTGCAAAAACGTGGCCCTTCAAGTAACATAAATCTGTCCGATGAATGTGGTGCTTATGTCAATTTATTTCAAACTTATCACTCTCAAGGGCAGGTGAGCATCATTATCAAAATCATTATAATTATTATGAGAATTAAATCTTGAATTTCAAATCATAATTATTTTTGTTTTAATTTAAAAAGTCATTCCTCAAAGCGGCTACCATACATACGGAGTTTTGTGAAAAGTCATATCAAGAACAAAAGATGCAACTAATGGCATTGAATGCCGCCCTCACAAATCTTGATGCTCACAGCCGGTTTGTACACGTTTGTTGTTTCAGACCTAGTTATTTAACTTACTAAAAAAATTTCTATCTTCATTGACTTCCTACATTTTAGTTCTGTAATTGATGCCCATGAAGTTTTTTACACATTTGCTGAAAAAGAAATAATCAAACATACAAGGCTGATTCAAAAGTTTTTATGCATATTTTTTTTAATATAACGTGCAACTTTTTGATTTATTCAGAATAAATTCTAATAGATTCTAATATTAGTTTATCGGTCGATATCGAGACGCTTCGACGCATTACCATTCATCCTGAGATTTCAAAATATGGGGGTATTTTAACAAGCGACAAAAAGTATTATACGTTAGCCGATTATGTAAATGAGGACAAGCTTATAACTTTGGCGACGGAGGGTAAACAAATTTACGGTATATATAATGTTCCAATAAAATTTTTTGTTTTGTTTTTGTCTTTGTCTTTGTATTTATTAATTTGTGTACTTATTTAAAACTAAATTAATTTGACATTATGTTCGTCGTTAGATCAAATTGCTAAACGTGTTCAGTCGTTGGCTTCTTCTATTCACTCTGTTCAATCTGGTACAGAGACATTAAAAAAGAAAAGATTTGATAGCTTGTACGTATTATGTGTTTATTGTTAAAAATAACGTACCGAGTTTAATTAGATTATTTGTACCTCAGATTTCCTAAAATGAAGGAAACATTTGGTAATGTTCAGGATCGGCATTATAAGTTAAAGCAAATTGCTGAAAAGTTGGAAAGAGGTATAAATGATCATTTTATTTATTGAAAGAAATATTTTGGTATATCGAATAGTAAAACACGTGTTCATCAAATTTTTTAAAGATGTCACGCGCGTGCAAAATCAAGTATCAAAAATTCTCGAGTCAAATGCCAGCGCGTTATCTACAGTAGCAACAAAATCCATTGAAGCTTTTGAACACCTTGCTAGCATCCAATCACAAGAGTATTTACCAGGTAAAAATTATACATATCACAATACATGTTATCTGGTTCGAAAGTTTATCTTATACGCGTCAATTTGTAGATATGCAAAAATTCGATCAATATATTCGCGAGCAAGTGATATTCTTTGTTCAATACAAGGTATTTTTTTTTCAAATCACTTAAAAATTTTATAATTTTTAATTTTTAATTTGTCATTAAAAATATATATATATTAGAATACGATGACTTCGACATTGATATCCAATTTACAAGAAATATCTCGCCTTGAATCTTCCATTGCTGGTATTCCCAGTTTATTAAGCGGATTGGATACTGATGTTCGATCTAAAGCTCAAGATTTTAAAGAATTAAATCATGTTCATCAAATGCCAATAGCTTATGTAAATATTATTATAATTGTTTTTTAATTGTATTTATAATAATATATATATTAATCTGGAAGCTTTTACATTTAGGCAATGACTATTGTTGAGATTGTGAGAAGGAAAGAATATGCAAAAGTTTGTACCATGTCATTATTTATTTACTCTCTGTAACCTATTATTTATAGATTATCATTTTTTTAGCTTATACTCTCAAAGGCACAACAAATGGCTGAGATAATGGGTCTTTTTCGTAATACGGAACAGAAAAGACGCGATTATTATAGAACGGAAGTGAAGAAATATGTTCCGGTTAACATTCCGGGTATAGATTCATTTAAATTTTATCCATGCCATGTGTTTGTATTGTTACTGATTAATTTTATTGGCAAATTTATAGCATTAGATGATAATCCTCCTACGTGTGACATATCTACGGCCAATATTAAGGAAGATAAATTACCATCCTTTACGATGAGAGACGTGCATTGTAATTCATTTATCATTAATACTTTCGTTCTTTTATATACCTAAGTTTATATCTTTGTAATTAATAATCCTATTGTAAATAGCTTTTTTAAATCTTATAGAAGAAATTCGTCCGGCTATCATGTCGCAAGTTTCTTATCATCGCTCCTCGACCTTTACTGCTTCATTATCCAGGATACGAATACAATCTCCTCACGATGACCCTTTAGCAAATTTACATACGATATTATTGAAGTTGGCTAGTCAACTGGAAGGAATGAATCATGAATTCGATCGTGCTATAGAGAAAAGTTGTAAGTCGAATACATTCTGTTTATTGCTGATCGTATCATTTAATATGTAATTTATACATTTTGTTCCGTTGTTATAGTTCTCTCCGAAAAGAATGCTAATGATAAAAATAGCAGCACAATATCGCGTCCAATTACATTACTTGAGAGTAAGTTTTATTATCCATGTATTAAACGATCTACGTAAATATACTTACAATGCAATTTCTTTAGGTCGTTCATTAACTCCCCCAGCATCATCTCAACCAGGACGTCGTTCCAAACGGGCTTCGCGACAAAGTTTCTCTGAAGGTAATTCCCCATCAATGGATGCTAATATGGACCTTTATGTTGAGAAAACGAATCTATTAAACAAGGCCGAAGAGAAAATAAAGGTTTCAAACATTTCAATTTACTTTTTCATAACTATAAATAATTTTTTTTACTGATCATTATTTATTTTAACTTATAGGCATATGAAGCTCGTATCAAAAGTCTTGAGAATACATTATACACTAATTATCAAGCAGCCAGGAATTCATCAATTATTTCCTCTACAGCTGGATCAGATATTGCCTCAATGCCTACAACTGTTGTCTCGGAAGAAATTTCTGATCTTCGTTCGCGTTATCAAAATCTAGAATCTTCATACACTACTGAAGTTAATGAAAAGACGAAGCAAGAAAAAAAAGCAAAAGAATTAGAAATACGTTATAAGAATTTAGAGTCATCTTATAATATAGCCACTAATGACAGAGAGACATTACTTAAACAAATTAATGAACTCGAAACACGTTGTCAAAAATATGAAACATCATACACCAAAGTCACGAAAGAAAGAGAGGCGGCTGAAGAGCGCGCTTCAGATCTTGAAACGCGTTATCAAAATATGGAAACTTCCTATGTGGATGCTATTAAAATAAAGGGTTCATTGGAGAAAAAAGTTGATGAGCTTCAAAAGCAATCGGAAACACTTGAAAGTTCACATGCTCTTGTATTGAAAGAGAAAGAAAATGAGTTGTTGGATTTGCAAGTCAAGTTTAAGAAATTACAAGTTTCTCATGATTCATCAACGGTACGATGTAATGAATTAATAGCAAAAGTTGCTGAATTAGAGAAGTCTAATAAAGAACCTGATAATCTTCATACTGAACAAATAGAAAAATATGAGGTACTTGTTAAAGATTTGGAACAAAACTATCAAGATTTAAAAGCAAAATATAATAAACTTAATGATGAATATGAGAAAAAATTAGATGCTGATAGAAAATGTGAGAAGTTAGAAAAGCAAATGGATAAATTAATTGAGGAAAAGGAATTTATCGTAAAAAACAAAAATGCATTAGATGCAGAAAAATCAATTATAGAAATGAAGTTTAATGACATTAATGCAGAGAAAAATGGACTAGAAACTCGATTAGAAGAATATAAACAAAAGGTTCAAATTATATTTGTTTTTTTATTTTTTAAAAAAAAAATATTCATTACTTTTACCTTGTAACTTATAGATATTGATTTTAATAATTTGTTTGTAATTCGTAGTATGAACAAGACCGATTATCATTGAATAAGAGAATTGAAGAATTAGAAGCTCAGCATCTGATGCAGGAGCAGATTGAAGCTGTGAAAGAACGGTGGAGAAAAAAGGTACGATCATTTTAACGTAATTTTCTTTTTAATTTTCAAAAATTTTAAACTCCTATTTACGTTTGAATGCAGATTGAAGAACTTCAAAAGGAAAAGGATAACGTAACTCAAACATACGAAATAAACAAGCAAGAGGTAATAAATTTTTTAATAATATTACACTTTCTTGATAACTCTTTCCGCATACTCATATGCTAAAACACTATAGCTGCTTCATGAAATTGAGAGTTGGAAAGCTAGCCTTGACAAAATGAATTTACGACGTGAAGAAGCTGATAGCTTGCTTGCAAAGGTGAATTATATTTATCGTTGAACGAAAATAAATTGTACCTTTTATTAATCAATTTATATTATTAAGTCGCGCGAAAGAGGCAAACAGCTTGAGCGGGAAAATGCTGAAACTAAGAAGGCTCATGAACAGGTATTTATGATTATACATTAGTCAATGTATTTCCTCTCTAATCGAATGTTTGATCATTTTAGAATGAAAAGTTAATCAGGAATATTACCGAAACCATTCTGAATTATATGGATGTCGCAAGTGCTTATGATGTTTCTGAACAGGTAATATATTATTTTACGATATTTACTTTATTCATTTATAATTTATTGTTGTTTCTCGTCATTATAGACCAAGTCGGGAACAAATTTGAATCCTATTTATATGATACAAAAAGTTGGAAATGTTGCGAATTCTATGGCCCAGGAATTATGTGATACAAAACAGGTTAGTCATGAAGTTGGCGTAACTTATAAATTATCGATATTGAATCCAAATTTGTCATTGGTCAACCTTTATAGTCTCTTGAAACTTCTAAAGCTAATCACGCTGCCCTGGAAGAAATGTTGGAGGAACGTACTGAAGTTTCTCGTTTATTAAGCAAATACCTTTGGGAGTATTATAATAATATTCGAACATTGATGAGCGCGATGGAATTTTCTTTACCTGTGAACAATGAAAATGGGTCGAGTTTATCGTCAACTGAGAAAGAAAAAGGAAATCTTAAATCGTCTGAATCACGTTTATCGGATAGCTATTTTGCTGAAGACTTGGGAAAGTTTTTCTCAAATTATTCTGAACAAGTGGCATGGCCGAAGGATAAATATGAGACACTCCTTAATCTTTCAACAAAAGTGGATCTTAATGAGGTTCGTCATATAATTAGACGAACACCTAAGGATGCAGAGGATCTTGTAAAGAAATATAAAAAAGAAAGTAAATCGAATAGAGGTAAGTTCAAATAGCGTTATTAGTTAACAGGCTTTTTCGGTTTTGATTTCAGTTGACTTAATTATTCCTTTAACAGAAAAGTATATTAAAGCTAGTCAGGAATCGAAAGAGAAAATTTCTTTTCGAAAGTAAGTAATAAATATTATATAAAATTTTGTAAAATAACTATGCAATCAAGTTGGGCTTATTTAACCATAAAATTCTTTTTTTTTTTTTGTTAGTTTCAAGAATGGCGACATTGCACTATTTTTGCCTACACGAAATTCAACAGCCAAACCTTGGGCTGCTTTTAACATTAATTGTCCTTATTACTTTTTGCGCGCTACCGAAACAATAAATGGTCAAATTCGTAATAAAGATTGGATCGTCGCGCGAATCATTGAAATTACTGAACATAGAGTTGATGTAAAGGTTGGTTCGGTTGATTGACTGATTACATAATGAATTGAACTCGCTAAAGTAATATCAATTTGGTAGAAACCGGGCACAAATCCATTTGAATTACCGGACGGTGTTAAGTATTATGTGTTAGATGTTGAAGATTGGCAGAATAACAATAGTTCAACATCTAGCCATCACTCAAGAAAACGTACAGGATCTGAATCTTCAACAAAATCCTCTCGTATCATGAGTGCTTCTCTTTCTAACTTACCTTCAACGAGGGATACAGTTGATGACAACGACACAAATTCAAGCATGTCATCATCCACAGCAAATTTACGAAATCGGGTGCAAAGTTTACCACCACCTGCTCATACTTATTCATCACCTTCAACACTTTCCGATACAACTAATACAACTAATACATCGAATCGTCCAATGTCATCCTATTTACCGCCGTTATCATACTTCTATACTTCTAACTCATTGGATGGATCTGGATCAAAAGACGACAACAATTGACCAAATTTGGATTTATTTTAACGTTTACTATTTAATTTTTATTCAATAAAAATTTTTATATTAAAATTTTTAGTTAGTTTTTTTTTTTAATCAATATCTTTTTTTGTACAAACATCTTTGTATTCTTTGTATTCAAAAATTAGCATCTAACGCAAAATATATTATTATTAAACTTGAATAAATCTATTTTGATTTATTTTTAATTGTAGAAATAGTAAATTTTATATGACCAATCTATTTTCCGAAATTATATTATACATTAAATCTATTTAATAACTACGAAAAGAGAAGCGGGGGTCGAGGAGTCGGAGTAGACGGACGTTGCATCAAAGTAGGACACAGTTGTGCTTTCGTTTGTTGTAAATTTTTCTTTGTCTGTGGGGATCCTGAATTATCCCAATCCTGAATGAGAATGAGAGGAACCTCGACATCATTCCGATAAGAATCAGAATCACATGGGACAATAGTCAATATAGGTGTTTGCGATTTAGGAAGATCATTGTTATTTTCTAAAGAAAATTCTTGGATATCGGAGTCTAAAGAAACGTGTGCTAGAGCATGAGCCAAATCATGAGATAAAGTGTTAGAATTAGGACGGTCTTCTTTGATTGGAGTCCATCCGAATGGTGGTGAACCTGGTGGAGATACGAGCCAATTTTTTTCGAGTTCCGGCACACTAAGATGTCTTGAATTATCGATTTCATCATATAGGGGAGTATGCTATGAAACATAACGTTTAATTATTAGTTGTTATTTCGACGAAAAAAAAAAAAAATAATAAAAATTTTCAATCCTTAAAATCTCACCTGTCCATAATATATACGAATATTTTTACTCAAGAATTCCATTCTATCACAATATGCTTTGGCCTTCGTTGCATCATTGGGTTGATAAAAAATGGAAAGAATACGATTGAATGATTTGATCGGTACAAATTTATAAATTTTTCCGTGTAGTTCGAGGTGATCTCGAAGTTCAGCAAGATTTTCATGAAGAAAAGTTGCGCGATCAAGATTAGCAACTATCAGTGTGTTTGTTGCAACAACGTTCGAGATTTGAACCCGTAAATCGTGTACAGCACAAGGGGACATTGTGTTTTATAAGAAAAAATAAGAGTTTAACTTTTTTGATAATTGATATTGATTGAACTTGTTTCAAAATAATTCAAGCTATCATTAATTAGTTTGTAATAAAAAAAAATCTCTCTTAAAAGATGGAATAAAATGGATAAAAAAAGAAAAAAAACAAGGGATATTTATAAAGAAACCCGCCAAGGAAATAAAAACAAATTAGATTTTTCTATTTTTCTTTTTTTATTTTTCCATCAAACCTTTCCAATAGATTTTCTAACAGAATGTCCACAATAGGCAGATCGGTCTTACAAGTAAATATTTTTTTTATATTCGCAATTGATAATTTAAAATAATTTACCAATCAAAAGACAATGGATTACAAATCATTTCATACACGTGATCTAATAATTTGTCACTTTGCCAAAACTTGGTAAAGTTCAAGTTCAGAACCCGAAATTGGTTAAACTCATTTCTAAAATAAAATTGATTTCTGGAAAAAATTGGAGAAAAAGGTTTTGTTACAGCAACATTTTCAACGATTCATTGAGATAATTTGCTAATAATGAAGGATTTTAAAAAAAAATTAAGGCGTAAAAATTATATATTTCCAATATGTTTCCAAAAGAATATTTCGAAAAAAAAAGTAATTAGTCTGGGACGAAGTGTAAGACTATATATGTACAGGGTCTAAGGTTACAAATATGTCCGTCTGTCCGCCCGCTCAACAATTACACAAAAGTCTAGATAAAAGCAAATACTAGTGGATTATTCCGGACTTAATAACGGTTCCCGTTTCCTAGTTCTAACAATTAACATGTTATCTACTTAAACAAGGAGTGTTTCTTCGTCATATTTTTTTTTTTTTTTTTTACAAAAATGGAATAAATATATTATTTATTATTTATTAAGTTCTTTTACCATTCTTTACAACTTATTTTAATTTCGAACTTTAGCCATTTAACAATCGTGTTATATTAAATCATATTTATGATTATAAGCGTCACAAGCTTGATTATGATATTATATTTATTCATAATATAATTGTGCTTGGAAAATACTAAAAATAATAAATCTAGATTTATTTAATGTATAAATAAATTTAATAAATTTGATAAATATAAATAATAAAGTTGATTCTAATTTGAATACATTCTTATATTTATAAAAAAAAATAAGTAAATATAATAATTAGCCTTTTGAACTACTTTTTTCTACTTGTAATATTATCAAAAAAGAAATTTTCAACCTTTTAATCTTCACTAACTTTAATAAGATCTCTTTTAAGAATGAACTTTTCATAAATTTCATAATTAAATTTTTGACTATTTTATAAAAATTTCTATTCATTTTTCATACTTTAAATCAGTATCTGATTTTAAATCAAAATTGATATCTTTAATTAAATTAAAAAAAGATTCTAACGCTTTACTATAATTATTCAAAATTTTCACATAATTTTGATTTAAAAATCAATTTTTATAATATTAAATTTGTAATTAGAAAAATATGTACTATTAAAATTAAATGATTATAAATATTCAATCTAAATTAATAAAAGTATAAGCTAAATATTTATCTAAAATAATAAATTATCTAACTAATTATCCATTTATCTTCTTAGAATTTCAGAATATTTGAAATGGTAATTTGCTTTTAAATAAAAATGATGCTACAATTAAATGTAACTTTTATTCATTATATTCGTTATAATATAATTTTAATAGTATTATAATTAATTATAATTATGTAATACTTATTTATCATCAGTTATAACTAGTTATAATACCATTTTTACTTTTAAAATAATAATTAAATTAGAAAAAATTAAATCTAATCTATTGATATTTCTCAAATAACTTATTGATTAAGATTAAATAAAATTGATTTATATATTATATTTTTACTAATACTAAATAAAAGAATAATATAAAAGTAATTATTAATTTTTATTAAATATAAGAATTTATAAAATCTAAAAATTTATTATATTAAAAAATAAATAAGTTTATATTACTTAGATAGTGTTAACATTATCAAATTGTGATTATTAGATAGGATATTCAAGTAATAAATTTTTTTAAAATTTATATAGTAATTTAATTGTTAACTCAATAGATATTATATATTACAAAATATATTTAAACTTCAGTAAGTTAAGTTTTATTATATATATTATAAAGTATATTTATACCTTAGTAGATTATGTTCTATTATATATTATTAACGTATATTCATATCTTAGTAAGTTAAGTTCTATTATATACTATAAATATATTCATACCTTAGTAAATTAGGTTCTATTATATTGTAAAGTATATTTATATCTCAGTAGATTAATTTAAATATTGATCATGTTATTCAAAAGATTTACACAAAAGTTATAAGTTATATCAAATAGTTTATTAATAAAATTAAGAAATAAAAAATAAAATAATAATATAAGAAAATAAGAAAAGAAAGAAATTAATAACATAGTTAATTAAAGATTATATATATTTTAAAATTGATCTAATTAAGTTACATTTAGCATCTGATAGTTATTTTTAGAGTTCCAGACGAGTCGAGTTAACTCACGAGTCAGATAAGCCGAGTCGAGTTCAAATCAAATTGAGTTGGTGTTTTTTTGATTCGATGATTTGCGAGTTAAGCCAAATTCGAGTCGAGTTAAATATTTAACTCGACTCGATTTAAACTCTACTTGATTCGAATTGACTCGAGTTGATTCGAGTTGAACGATAAAAAAATCGTTCAAGAAGAACAATAAGGAATCACTCAACTTGAACGATAAAAAAATCGTTCAAGAAGAACGATAAAGAATCGTTCGCCTTAAACAATAAAAAAATCGTTCAAGAAGAACGATAAGGAATCGTTCGACTTGAACGATAAAAAAATTGTTTAAAAAGAACAATAAAGAATCATTCGACTTGAACGATAAAGAATCGTTCAAGAAGAACGATAAAAAAATCATTCAAATCGAATGATAAGGAATCGTTCGACTTGAACAATAAAGAATCGTTCAAAAAGAACGATAAAAAAATCGTTCAAGTCGAACGATAAGGAATCGTTCGAATTGAACGATAAAAAATCGTTCAAGAAGAACGATAAAGAATCGTTCAAGAAGAACGATAAAAAAATTGTTTAAGTCAAACGATAAGGAA